GTCAGCCAATCAATCAGCTGACCCCTCCCCTCCCTCTAAGCTGACCCATGATAGCTCTAGATCCATTTTCTTTGGGGCAGTGGCAATCATAAATATAACCAGTGCCATAAGACTGGGTAATTGTGTATTACTGATCCTACCCTTGCCAGAAGCACTGACGGTCACACAGACGCGCCAGCCAGAAGGGATGGTTCATAATCTGAGTCATCCTTGCACTGTGGGTACTAGTCTTAAGGTAGGACAGTAGTAGGTCACATGGTTTAGATACAACAGGAAGTAAATCATAGTTTAGATCCAACTGGAACGTTTCCGGTGGCAGGAAACTTCCACCCACAGAGCATGACTTTCTCACCTGTTCCATTCACACTGCACCCCCAAATACCCCCTGAAATGCATCTCATTTTGGGGGGGGGGGCATTCTGGCCTGCAGCAGGAAGGGGGAAGGAGAGAAGGTCATACTGTGGAGGTGGAAATCTTTCTACTAGTGGAAATGTTCTCCTTCTGAATTCTTGGGGGGGGGGGGGTTGGAGCTCTGATCTCTGTGATAAACGTGTATGATCCTCCCCTAATTTTTACAGCCATAAAGTACTTTACCTATACTTGCACTATGGACAAACAAGGACTCTGATTTATCATTGGGTGTGTGCGTGAAGGGTTAAGAGCTATTTATTATCCAGATCTGGACTGGGAGGTATCAATAATCAGAGGCACATGGTGCTGGTTGCACTGGATATTGTTGCTACCCCCAGTCAGCACAGCCATTAAGAGCTTCTTACAGAGGAAGGATTCTGCTTTTCTGGCTACGTTGGTCAGGTATGTCGGCTGTCCTCCTTATTCACCTTCACCAAATTAGCTGGTGTCTGAAGACTGATAGGTGGCCAGTGTTTCTAGCTGATGCTGTGTGGGGAAGAAACCCTTTCATGGGATGAACAGGGGGGCAGAAGAACCCTTGTGCCTGTGACTGAGGTTTTTAGAAGTTTGAGAGCCTGCTAGATATAATTGGGAGTGACCACTTCTCCAGCATCACATCTCCTTGGGTCTGCAGCCCAGGGATGTTGCTGTTACATTTTGTGTTCAGGTACAGTTTCTCAATTACAAAACGCATGCTCAGCCTGACCATTTTTGAAAGTTGTGCACATGTAAAAAAAAATGGTTTTCCCTTTAAGTTTAGGGGACCCAAGTGCGAAAATGTTAACATCCAAGGCAGCCCTGGGAAACACAGTTAAGCCCCACTGTAATCAAATGGAGGTCAAGAACATATTTATCTCTGGATACGTCTTCCCACCCCCATGTTGAAAATTAGCACCAGGCTGAAGAAGCCCTGTCCCACCATCGCTGTACCCACAGTGGTGTGTCTGGAGAGATTTCTAACTCAGTCTTGCCTCTCCAGAGGTCAATCTGAGCATAAATTCCTTGGCAGGATAAGCTCTTTGTAAGAACAGTTGGACTTTATTGAAGGCATTAGCATTTTCATACAAAATCTGCATCTCCGGTGCGATGGATGAAAACAGCCAATTCATTTACCAAAGTGTCCAACACAAGAGTTAAAGCTTCCAAGCGTCAACATCACAGCCAGGTGTGGATGGGAAAGAGGCAGGTTGGACTGTGTGTGCACCTTTCTAGCTAAGGTTCAACAAGGCATAAGATGGAAGGCAAGGAATATTAAAAGACCCCCTCTGCACAAAAATCTCATTCTGTCATTTTAATTCTTCCTAACAGACCAGTGCAAGAGTACCAGTATTTCCCCTGTTGAAATGAATCACCATCACCTTCATCAACCAGGTGAGACGAAGAGCAGAACTTCAAGAAATCCTGTCTCCTTACCAGAAATGACCTCAGGAAGGGGCATCAAATTCAAGCCTAGTCATTAACAGTTCTGTGGGGCTTCTTGCACCAGAATGTACATCTCTAAATGCTCAGTGGGTGGGTGGATGATGTATTGGGATGTGCATCTGATTTATGCCCATAGCTTCTGGTCCAGAGAACAAGCTCCGTATGCCAAAGTTGTTTCTGCATGGGGGATCTCCTTGGCAGCAGGGTGCCAGATCCCAACCCATCCTAAGGCAATTCATTCCACTTACTTGGGTGTGTTAGTGATGAAATGGATGCATTTGAGCAAGCCTCCTCCAAAGGCTTCCAGTTCTTTATAGTATACCAGATTGTGAGAAGTGGGGAGGGGAGAGAAGCAATAACTCCGTCACTCACTGGGAAACTCTCCTAGCATGTGAACCACTTCACATCTTAATTTCTAACATGAAGATTAATACTCAAGGCTGTGTGTGTGTGTGTGTGTTCTGAATTTGAATGATGCCCCAGAAGGACAATTCAGCAGTTGGTATGAATTCAGTAGTCAGTGTAATTTATGCAAATGTGTTTCTCCAGCTTTGCATAATTTATTCTGATAGTCATGAGGAGGTACAAGGAGCCCTGCTGGATGCTGAAGCCCCACCTCTGTCACCTGAGATTTGGTGCCCGCGATTTAAGAGTCTTTGCCCTCTCACACGAAGCTGCCTTATACTGAATCAGACCCTTGGTCCATCAAGGTCAGTATTGTCTACTCAGACTGGCAGCAGCTTTCCAGGGTCTGGTAGAAGTCTTTCACATCACCTACTAGCCAATCATTTTTTTAATACTGGAGATGCCAGGATTGAACCTGTGATCTTCTGCATGCCAAGCAGATGTTCTACCACTGAGCCACGGCCCTTCCCTCGGTAGCCCTGAGGACCAGGAGGTGTGCCCAAGGCTCTTTCTCATACTCAGAGTCAGCAGCACAGACATAGCCTTCCTAAGGGTCCAGTTGTAAAAAAATGAATGATGATGTCTTTGCTCTGGGCCCCTCCCTACATCAGGAAGTCACCCAACGCCATTCAGAAATTTATCACTGACCAGAATTAATCTCCATCTTAGAAAAAAAAAAAGAATACGTGGAACAGCTCTTAATTTCAGCATACTGGTTCCATCAGTTTTCCCATTCCCACCCTGCATAACAGAATATGCTTTTTGTCTCCTAATCCTTGCACAAGTGCAGGACTGCCTCTCTGCTAGATAGAACAATTTGGTTCTTATTCTTTGCACAAAATCCTTTAGGACCTGTCTGTCTTTCTTTGAGCACTGTGGAAAGAGATGGCCTAAATTTCTCTGGAGATCCCACTGGCTGGAAGAATTTTTTAAAATAAAGCAACAGGAGGTTAGATGTAAAAGGTCACCAGGGAACAACACCCAATAACAGTTTGTTCTTATCTCTGCTACTTCAATCAACGCCTTGTCTGATAAGGGGTTTCTGGCTTAATGGGAGCAACTCTGGAGGCAGCTGCAGTCCTTTGGGGGAAACTAATGGCCAACCTGCAGAAGATACCGGAAAACCTGGATGGGACCTGCAGTGCCCTTTTCCTTTGCAACTTAGATCAGGACCACAGGCGTTACCTCCCTTCCCTCCTACATTTTACCTCTCCTGCCCAGATTTGTCATTTGCCCCACTGGGGCAAATGCCAGCTCTGGCAGGCTTGTATGAGGTCAGAAAAATGGTACTGGCGGAAGATTTAAAACTCTCTTTCCCATGCAGGTACTAATTACTTTTTTAAAAAAAGTAAAGAAAATCAAGCTAGAGATACAGTCATGGGTCTTTTCTGGTTTGGCTGTTGCAAAGCCGCTGTCTTTGGTCTGTATGATGCTCACCATGATGTTGGGGCTTCCCAGACATGTGCTACGATAACTTAGTTATCTCCTCAATGTGCTTTGCTTGCCTGCATAGTGGGGATCATAATGCAAGCCCCAAACGGGAGGCTTAATTGTCTCCCCCTGACTGGTCCTGCCAGGGGTTGCTTCAACTTCCTACCACAGAGTTTCTCCTACCTTGTTGGTAAGTGAGTGCAGAACTCCCTTTCCCCACATGAAATACTTCCTGTGCCCCAACACTATGGCAAGCTGCCTCTGCTGATAATTTTTACTGATGGCAAGGAAGAGGAAGTGATTGAACAAACCAGATTGTTCAGCAGACGGAGCAGAGTGACAGAGGAAGAAACTGAATGTGCAACAGCCCTGAGGATTTGGGGTCCCGATCACCAGCTCTTGACTGTTGTTAAGGGGCACGGAAGAAGTGCCACCCAACCAACACATTTCCCTTGATGCCAACAAATCCCCCGTAACAAAGTCTGACTCACTGGGGGGGGGGGGGGGCCACTGGAAAAAAAAGAAGTTACTCAGAAGTGCTCAGATCAGCTCTAGCTCCCATTTCCATCCCCAAGCAGTGGCTTCCCAGGACTTCTCCTCGGCTCTTAAAGGAGTATTTATCTACAGTGGCCTTTCCAAAGCAGATGTCACTCACGCCTGACTCTCTTATAAAGAAGTGGCAGAAAGATGTTCTGCTTCAACAAATCTGAAGAGCAGTGAGACGTGTGGGAGGGCGGGTGCTTCAAGGCTTGAAAATAGTTCAGAAAGACCTGACCTCTGAAAACATAGCATCTGCCCTTCCCAAACAACAAAAAAGCTTCAGCTGTCTGAGCTGGAAACCCCAGGCACAACGATGGTGGTTTTGGAAATCTGGTCTGGATAGCTTCGCCTCTGAAGTGAGCGGCCTGTTTGGTCTCTCCCTGTCAGATAACCCCAGGGAGTCACTTCCTGCTTGAACTTTCCTCCGGGCAGGACTGTTGCCAAGACACAAGCAAACAGGGGCAGGCATCAGTTTGGGGCCAAGACAGTCAATGGTTATAACAGTGTACGAAAGACTGTACAGATCCCTTGAGCACCTCCAGATGTTTCCCAAAGGTGATCGAGGCCTTGGATCATCTCCGGCTGGAGCTTCTAGGATACCAGAAACAAGGTCCCATGGCCACCTCGACTCTCATGCAGCTGTTTTGAAAGAGGTCAAACTTCCACTTCTTCTCTGGCTCTCTGCAGCATTGGTCAGTTCCAGGCTGTGACCAGGCAGGAGCACAGAGATCCAGCTGATGCGCACTGGTGTCCAAACACGTACAAAGAAGGCCTGTGTGCCAAACCCCTGGCTGGCATGTACACGTCACTGTGTACCTGGAATGAGTTTGGGTGGCCTCTGGTCTGCCCCCTGGGAGAGGGGCAAGAGTGGGAGAAAAGGGGGACAGATGAAGGTAAGGGATAGACGTTGTGACCCCATCACTTTCATGAGTTTTGTTTTTAGTATATTTCTTTTCCTTCCTCCCTTTTGCTCTTACTCATTGTCTGGGTGCAAAATGCATGTCTGGCATGAACCCAAAACAAACACTTGCTTGCGGGCACCTGGCAAGGTGCTATCTGGTCTCCAGGGATTCCAAGTATTCCAGGGCTAAGTCATAGCAGAAGTGGTACTGTTCCTTTAAGGGAAGAGGAGGGGTGGGGAGAGAAAGAGACAGACAGAGAATGCGTCAAAAGCATATTCTGCACAGAAAGAAAAAGACAGTCCTGCTCTACAATGGGGCAAGGTAAGGCAGTGGCCTGAGGTGGTAACCTGCCCCCCCCTCGCCTTCAACCCTGGTGACATTTTCCCCCCCTCCCATCCTGACACTCAGCTCCCATTTAGGAGCTGAAGCAGCTGAGTTTTCTTCTCCCTTCGTTCTCCAGATGTCTTCAAAGGCTGCTCAGCTTTTTGAACTATCATATGAGTCAATGTTTGGGAAGTTTCATTTTCCAGTCATATTTTGAAGCTACTTTACACTGCATCAGACCATTGGTCCATCAAGGTCAGTAGTGTCTACTTAGACTGGCAGTGGCTCTCAGGCACATGGCGCTCGCTGGTGCCTGGGTGGCAGTGAAGTTGGTGAGACCTCCGCTCAAAACCTTGGAGAGCCACTGCCAGTCAGAGCAGGCAATACTGAACTAGAGCAATGCAATGGTTTGATTCATTAAAAGGCAGTTTTGAGATCAGCTTTGAGGGAGCTTGAAAGAATGAGATAGGAAGTCAGCATTCCTGGCTCCCTGGTGGTCTCGCCTGTTGCTAAGGAAACCAGAAAACAAGGATGTGCAAGGCCTTTTCTTCCTTCCCACCAAACACCAATGGAAAGCCTCTAAATCCCATGAAACTGAGCTGGGGAGAAATATATGAACAGCATAGTAAGAGTTGATGTTGTAGCTGCTGGGTAGGCTTTTTATTCCTGCCAAATGCTCAGTAAAGCACTCAAGTTTTGTTTTTGTCTCTGTTTTTCCCTGAGCATATGATGGGAAAATTCGAAAGAAACAACCCAAATTTGACCAGGAGAAGTTTGGTGCATGCATAGAGGGAGGGATTATTTGTACTTCAACAGCATAATCCCTCTTTCTCTGCGACAGCCTTGGACAGAAAAGGGGGGGGGGAGAATGAAACCAACCCAAAAAACCACTAACGGTTAAGAATGGCTGTAGTGCTTTGATCTTCAATTATCCCTGAGGTAACAGCTCGCCGTGTTTGTATATGAGTCCAAAGCAAATTTCAGAACGAAAATCGCTCCGCACGAAGAAATAAATAACAAACATTCATGAAAAGTGTAACGATATGAGCTTATGTTTGTATTTCTGTATAGTGGTGATGCTGCTTATGTGTGTCTCTAGCATGAATACCTATGCAATATGTATTCAGGGATTGCTGTATGTTGTGTGTTGCTTTGTTCTGCATCTCATGCTTGCCTAGAAATAGGCTGGCCTGGGCCTGCCGTTGCACATACGGACCATGTGCGTCCCTGGAATGTATCCCATGACTCTTTGGGATGGAGAAGACACCGCGCCATTGCACCCACTTGGAGAGCTGTGGAAAATCCCCAGCGAACCCCGGCATTCTTGGAATGGAAAGAGCAAGTGACCCTACTCCCTTAATCTGGTTTGGAGATCTAAAGACAATAGCGTTTATGGCTTTGGAGCAGGAACCAGATCTGCAAATCAAGAGGGTGTCCATGGGAACGGAAGATTCACACCTTGCCAAAAGGCACCTTTGATGTAGGAGTAGGATCTGCATATTGCCACCACCCCTTAGGAGAGCGTCATCCCCTTCGTCATCCCCTCGTCACCCCCTCTTCATCCAGTAGTGATAGTTTAGAGGACGGGTTTGATAGTTTATGGCTGGATAGCACATGCCCCAAAAAGAGTTTATTTAAGGAGAAACTCTCCTTTGTCTCTCTGGTTAACCCACCCTTCCCATAGCAGTGCACTAAGGTGCTACAAGTGACTCTACTACTTAAGTTCTCCGGAGTCGCGACCCAGAGAGCTCACACGTGGTTTGGCTGGTCCTACCTGTGTGCCTTGGAGTTCACAAGCTGCTGCATTTCGGCTGCCCAGCGTTCCAAGGAGGAGAGTTCTTCCTCAGCTGGACCTCAGATGAGTATAGCCGTGCCCCATTGTGTCATCCCCATTTTGATGCTTTTGTTATTTTCTATGCTGTAATTGTTCTAATGTACTATTGTAACTAAGGAGCTTGTATGAATTTGTGTGATTCCGATTTTGTATGCCTGATGAAAAACCTTTAGTAAAGACAACATTTATTTAAGGACTAGCGTGTTGTCTCACTTCCTGGGATATAGCCGAGCGTCTCATTCGCCATCCGACCTCTGTATAGACTGGTATAGAACTTACGCACAGCCACAAACACCCAATTTTCCTTGGTAGATAACTTGGATTGGGTCTCCAGGAATTTCCTGGAGAAGTTGGCATAACAAAAGCCAGAGAGCAAAAGGATGCTTTCACTGTTGGGATATTTGCGCAGGGAATTCGAAAGGCAGGGTGGGGAGATGGGGAAAAGGTTTAAGCACCAGCATTGGGGAAACACAAGATAGGCTAGGAATTAGATGGAAAAAACTGTGTTTTGACAGAATGGTTTCTGAAACAGGGAGTTGTGGGGGGCAGATTATTGATTGTGGGTACAAGGCACTGCATGCAGGGTGAGGGAACAGAATCAGAGACGCTACCCTTGGCCATGCAAATTTACCACAAGCACATACAGCATTTACACGTGTGCAAACTGCACACTCATAGGGTTGGATCCAGACTAAATTTCCTGCTCACATCAGGCACTTTTTTCCCAGTGGAACAGAACAATCCTGCCTCCTCCCCTCCCTGTTCTCCCCCAAATGCTGCTCTGGGGGGCGAGGGAGTGGACCCTCAGGAACAACACGAGAGGCAAACTGAGAATCTGCAGTAGGAAGAAGAAATTAGTAGAAATCACTCTACTCCTTCTGTTGGTGGAAAATGTAGCCTGGATCCAACCTCCCAGACTCCCTTCCCAGGATAAGAAATGCAGCCCGTGTGTGTACACGGTTTCTATGCGCTATGTCCCACATTGATAGACGGCAAGAAACATGCTTGGTCATGGTTTGGGTGGGGCTAGCACACTACATCCTGCCCACCCCAGTGCTTCTGTAAAGGGCTACAGTCTCATTGACTTCTGCAGTGTAGCTGTTAGCTGGACTCTCCTGTTCATATGACACATTAAATTTTCTTCCATGATGATTTAAAAAAGAAATCCCCACCAGCAATACCACATGCACAAATTCAGCTGGTGGCTCTGCTTTATGAAGGGGGACAATGCAGAGGGAGAGGGTGCATTAAACCCTTTCCTCTTTTGCCCTTACCCCACTGTAATATGACATCCCCAAGCTGCCTTTATTCTTGGCTATGGGAAATTTGCAGGCACCCATATTTGTGCCCCCCCCCCAATGGGAACCTGTCAGGGAAGAAACAGTCAAAGAGACCCCCTGCCTCTGAGCTGTTCTTCCCTTTCAAAAAAGCAGACTCAGTGGCCATGTTTGACAAAAAAAAAAAAAGCTAAAAAAACGATCACAGAAGAAAACATCAAGGCTTGGATGCAGAGCAAAATGTCTTTTTCTACTATAGCTCTTGTGCATCCGGGAACAAAAGAAAAAGATGGTGGTAGTCGCTTGTGCTACGTTAAACCTATTGCAGTCCACATGTGCCTCCGCTTGCATAAGATCTTGTGCAACCAGCATCTGGGCACTTGAGAAGAAAGTGCTAGGTATGGCACAAGATCTTGCGCAAATGGAATGACACTGTCCACTTATGTTTCTGCTTTCATGTCGATAGATCCAAGTCGGTACATTGTATAAGCATCAGAAACAACATTTTGCTTCAGCTGGCTGTGGGGGGTGAGATTACAGAGTGCTCATTTTGCATTTATTCTTACCTTGCAACTTAAATGAGAAGTCATCCGACTCAATGCCAGGGACTGCATTCCCTTTTTTATTGCTTTCTCTTAATTCTCTCCCCCCCCCAACTTCTTCCAATTGTGATTTAATTCCTAATGCAATCAAAACCTCCCAGAAAATAATTTCATTTTGTCAAATTAGAGGATTGATAATCCAGGCATTGCTAATGTCATATTTTCCCCCACTCCGGTCCTGACGTTTTTATATGAGCATTTTATTTATATCCCTAAACCTTTTTATTCTGCCTTTTTCATACAGATGTTTCAGGCAATTAGAATACTCTACCAGCAAAGTTGTATGGCTGTTAGAAATAAGTGCCAACTCATACAATACCAAGTGCTTGTGGCTGCCACAAGCACTTTGTATCGGGCGTGCAGTGGCGGTTCTGTGCCTCCGGGAAGCACATGAGCCCAGTTCTGACTGCATCCACAGCATCAGAGGAGAAAAGGCTTTAGACTCCTTCCCCCTCTTTCCCCCGGCCTGGTACCATTTTCACATCCTGAAACAGGCCCAGGGAGTAGGAGTCGTCATTTGCTGTCCTGAGAAACTGACATGTACCCATTGTTACACCTAAGCTTCCCATTGGAAGATATGGAGGTTCCCGAGGCCAGTTTAGGAAAGAAAAATAGTGTGGGATGGCTGAAACCTAGGGCTGCCAGCTCTGGTTTGGGAAATTCCTGGAGGCTGGGGGGGGGGGCAGTGGTGGAGTTTGGGGAGGGGATCGCAGCAGGGATGTAATGCCACAGAGAAGTAATTTCCTCCAAGGGATCAGTTATAATTCTGGGAGAACTCCAAGTCCTACCTGGAGACTGGCAATCCTGCTGAAGGCACCTCCTGGCATGCTGTAGTCACATTAAGTATTGTTCCTGCATGCTTCTGGGAGACACACAAATCCCATCTTACATCTGGTAAAAAGTCTTTGTGGGGACTTTCTTGGGAAAGGTCATGCTTCGTGTGCCAGATATTCTGCACCTATGCAATGGGATGCGTGGAAAAATTCCCTCGGGTGCCTTAATTTTATGCCAGCTCCCACAATTATTTGTAACTACTCGCCAAGAGTTTAACAGCATGGGAAGAAGGAATAGGTTTGCTAGCCACTTACAAAAGTCTCAACCATATTTGGCTTGTAGTTTCGGAGGGTTTTTGCAGCAAAGAAAACGTCCACCATCTTGTGGCACTTGATCATCTCCAGAATCATGGTGCAGGCGCAGAAAGTGCCACTCCGTCCACCCCCATTCCTGGCAGGGAAAAACAAAAGAATAGTATGGAGACATTCAGTATGAAAAGCAGTCCAATAGGAATAGCATAATGGAGAGTGAGCCTCGGGTATTGTTAGAGTTCTGGACAAGGAGAAATGCCCCCTTCTGCCATGAAGCTTGCAAGGCAATACCCAGGGGCATTCACTGTCAATATGAACTACCTTAGAGGGTTGTCATGAAGATAAAAGTGGGAGGAGAGAACCTTGTATGTGGCGCTGAACTCCTTGGAAGAGTGTCTATCTAAGAATGTGCTAGGGAGATCGAGTGTTAACTTCCCATTTAAATGGGCGGTCAGGCCACTGGAAGGGCACAGCTCCTGGTTTAGAATTCTGGGTTGTGAAGTAAGAAACATCCCAAACCATGTTGAAGTGCCAGATCTGGAATAAATGTCATCAAGTTGCAACCAACTAATGGTGAGCCCAGCAAAGGACTTTCAAGGCAAGTGAGAAGCAGAGGTGGTTTGCCATTGTCTTACTCCACAGAGTCTTCATTCATGGTGTCCCTTCCAAGTATCAGCCCAGCTTAGTTCCAAGATCTGACGAGACTGGGTTATACCATGATGCCTTCCCTCCCAGATTTAAGATACCACAAATAATATAGTTTATAACAAAGCAGGATGTTATCAGTCTCAGCATGGTGCACAAGGGACAGGAAAGAGAAGCATGCGATCCAGAGGATTTACTGGCTTGCCCTCATCACGAACAGACAATCATTTATTTGTGATGTCTAAATGAGGCCAACGTCTATGAAAAGCATATAATCAGGGCCTCCAAAATCAATGGAACTTCATTGTGTGTCTTGAACAGTGGGTCAAAATTTGTAACGACCGCAGGCTGCATTTCTATTTTTCTGGTGTTTGATAACGCTGACCTGTGGCTTATACCGAAATAAACAGACATGTGTAGAAGCAGTTAAAATGGAAAATCTTTCTTTACCTCCCCCAAGTACAGACATACCACGCAGCAAGTTCTTCAGGGCATGGATTCCCATCATGGTTAATAAATCTTTTACACTTTGCTATAACTGTATTAGCGAGACGCACACGAGATTGGTGTTTGCAAGCCAGTAGCAACCCCTATTTTCCTTTTTCCAGCTCCTTGCCTCTGTACCCACTGGAGAGCTCTGCATTTTGTGAATGACTCTGCCAAATTATCCTTAGGCTAATGAAGACGGGCAAGACTGTAATTCATTTTTGATTAAAAGCTCGCTGGGTGCCCCCTGTCAGTTTGGAAACATGACTCTTTATTTATTTATTTGCTGCCATTTCTTTTCTTTCAAGCCAAAAAAACCCTGGCTCCTGAATTGGCCAATGGTAATTAAAAACCAATGCAAATATTAATTAAAATAAAACAAAGAAGCTGCTCAGGGAGGGCATCAGAGAGCATAGTTGCCGTCCCCCCCCCCAGCATCAGGGATGGCAGTCATTTGCCTAGGAACTGAGGACGATCTTAACTAGAGTTGGATCAATGCACAATGGAAGGGTAACTAGCTGATCTCTCTTCTCTCTCTCCCACCTGCACTTCAATGCTTTACCCCCCCCCACCAGAGGTGTTTCCTTTAAAAAACACTAGCTATTGCATACACCTGCCAACAGATTCTAATGCCATACATTGTTTTAAAAAAATGGAAATCTCCCAGGTTTGTGGCTAAGAACATAGAGAAAACACACTGGAATGTCTGTAGGATCTCTTTTGGAAACACTGAGCTTTGAAACAGATATAGCCTGTTGAAATATCAGAGCAGGGTCTTCTGCAGGTGCCAACCTGAAAATGGGCAAAATCCTCCACTGCCCATAAAGGTGACTTCTCCGTTGTGCCCCCTCCCCCCTTTGCAGGACTGCCTGCTTGAGGAGGACAGGAAGGCTCCCACTCTCTTGACTTTCCCCCAACTATCCAAAAAAAACAGGTTGCTTACCAGTCACTGGTGATCTTCGAGTGGTCATCTGTGCATTCACACTTATGGGATCTAGTGCGCACGCGCTGGATCAATCGGTGCTGTAGCAAGCTCTTTTCAACGGATTTTCACGCCCAGCCCCTCCAGGCATGCGCAGGAACCCCACCGCGCATGCCCAAAGCGGTGGGCGCGGACATCCCGCCAGTTCCTTCAAAGTACTGCTGCAAGTCAACCCCCACGCAAAAAGTGTAGAAGCTGACAGCAGCAGAGAAGGAGGGCGGGTGGTGTGAATGCACAGATGACCACTCGAAGATCACCAGTTACTGGTAAGCAACCTGTTTATCTTCGACATGGTCTCTGTGCTTCACACCCATGGGAGATTAGCGAGCAGTAGCCTACCTGGAGGTGGGTGCTGGCAGGTCTTCTACTGCGTAGCCGAAAACAGAATGTGACATCCCATGTTGGTACCGGTGTTCGTACAGACGTCTAGGGTGTAGTGCCTGATGAAGGTGTTAGGCGTGGCCCACGTAGCGGCTTTACAAATGTCTGGCAGTGGCACTCCTTGGAGGAAGGCAGTGGAGGTCGCAACAACCCTGGTGGAATGAGCCTTGATAGGGCCAGGTAATGGCTGCTTGGCTAGTAGGTAACAGAGTTGGATCAAACCTACAATCCACTTTGACAGGCGTTGTGCCGTGATGCGACTGCCTAGGCGTGCCGAAGCGTACAAGACAAATAACTGTGGGTCTCGTCTAGTCGGACGTGTTCTCTGCAGATAGAACAAGAGAGCCTGCTTGACATCCAGAGTGTGTAGTAGTCTATCTTCCACTGACGTAGGGTTTGGAAAGAAGTCAGGTAGGAAGACCTCCGCCTGCAGGTGAAACTCCGAAACCACCTTCGGCAGGAAGGAGATAATACGGGACGAGGCGGACTCCGTCTGGCAGAAACGACAGGAAGGGTGTGTTGTGCCGGAAAGCCAGTATCTCTCCCACTCACCTAGCAGAGGTGATGGCAACTAAAAAAGCCGTTTTCCATGCTAGAAGTTTGAGTTCGCACGTTGCGAGTGGTTCAAAGGGTTTCCTCATGAGTTGTCAGAGGACTAGAGGAAGGTCCCAGGGAGCGACTGGAGATTTGACAGGAGGGTACAGGTGTAGTAAACCTTTCAAAAACCATTTCGAAACTGGATGTGAAAACAAAGTACATCCTTCAACTGGAACATGGTAGGCCGATAACGCGGCCAAATAAACTTTTAACGACAAATGGGAAAGTCCCGAGTCAGCCAAGGAGAAGAGAAAACGAAAGACTGCATCGAGGCCAACCAAGGTGGCCCGAGTGGCGTCAATGCCCAAAAATGAAGAGAATCTTCTCCATTTATAGTCATAGGACTTCCGTGTGGTTGGCTTTCTGGAATTCAGGAGGATGTTAACTACACAGGAGGAGAAGCCTGTGGTGTTATGTGCCATGCTGTCAGTTTCAACTGTGGAATGTTGTGATGTAGGATGGGGGAGTCTGAGAAGGTCCGGAGTTGGGGGAAACTGATGGTACATCCCCTGTGATAACTCGAGGACCGTTGAAAACCAAAGTTGTCTTGGTTACCATAGTGTTATTAGGATACAGTCCGCATTGTCCTTGAGTATTTTGCAGATCACTCTCAGAAGTAGAGTCAAGGGGAGGAACAGATAAAGGCGTCCTGATGGCCGTCTCCCAGCGAGTGAGGGTCTTTGCCTCCACGACTGCAGAATAGGTGACACTTTTTGTTGTTCCTGTCTGCAAACACATCGACTTGGGGAGTTCCCCACTTGTGGAAGAGTGGGAGGAGGTATTTTGGGTTCATCCCCCACTCATGCAGGCTGAGTCTGGCTCGACTTAGATGGTCTGCCTGCACGTTCATGTGGCCCAGAATGTGAGTGGCCACAAGGAATATGCTGTTGGTGATGCAAAACTCCCACAGTTGGATGGCAAGGTTGCAGAGTCGTTGGGAAACCGTGCCTCCCTGTCTGTTGACATATGACAGTGCTGTGGTGTTGTCCGTGAGGACAATGACACATTTTCCCTTGAGGAGAGGGAGGAAAGAGGTGACGGCGTGCTTTATAGCCAGGAGTTCGAGGAAGTTTAAGTGTTTTCTCCTCGTCTGTGCGTCCCATTTGTCCCCAATAGACAGCCCCATGGAGTGTGCACCCCATCCCATCAGGGATGCATCGGTAGTCATGGTGACCTCCGGTGACGGAGGGTGAAAGGGTGCTCCCTGTAAAATATTTGAAGGGATAGTCCACCAAAGTAAAGAGTCCTGTATACTGGGGAGAGGGGATAGGACGACAGTGTGTGCGGTTTTTGACATGTTGTAGTTGTGGAGAAACCAAAGTTGTAAGGGGCACATTTTGAGCCTGGCAAAGACGAGAACCGACGTAGTTGCTGCCATTAGACCGAGCAGTCTCTGAATCTGGAAAGCGGTGACGGAAGGTTGGGAGCGGACGAGTGTGGTGAGGGAGATGATATCTGCTGCCCTGTCGCTGGGCAGGTAAGCCATGCATGCCTGTAAATCCAGTATCGCACCGATGTATTGTATGTGCTGGACTGGACACAAGTGGGGATGGAAGGGGTGTATAGTGATGTGGAAATACACGTCTTGGAGGTCGAGGGTGGCCATCCAGACGTGTCTGCGCAAGAGTGGCATAATCTGTTGAAGTGACACCATGCGGAAGTGGTGGTATATCATGAAGCGGTTCAACTCCCTTAGATCTAATATGGGTCAAACACCTCCGTCCCTCTTCGGGACTGTGAAGTATCGGGAATAAAATCCCGTCCCCTGGAGGTGTGGTGGTAGGAGTTCGATGGCTCCCTTCTGTAGAAGGACGGACACCTCCTCGAGGAGAGGTGGGGAAGGGGGTGTGGAGACGACGACTGATGTATTGGGGTTCTGGATGAATTCGATCTTGTAACCTCAGGTCAAGATGGCAAGCACCCACTCATCCGAGGTGATGTGACGCCAGGTGTGTAGAAAGGGTGACAGACGGATAATTGCTGACTCGGTGACAGGGAAGTCAAAAACTTTGTTTGGGGTTTTTGGACTATTTGCGTGAAGCCTGTTG